CTGCAGAAGGGACTATGGCGTGACCTTCCCTCCTTGCGGGGGGGGTGATTTCTTGCTTTCTGTCTCTGTCTCTCCAGTAAGCGTGTGTCCCCTATAGCAAAAATCTCTAAAACAAAACAACAAAAAAAAGTGATAACTTTATAAATGCTAACAATAAAGTATATATTTACATCAATGTCTTAATGTATTAAAGTTCTTAAATATAAAAAAATTAAATAAAAATTAAGCCAAGTTATATAAAGTTATATTTCTTGCATATTTGATTTTACAGTCATTCAAATATGTATAATATTGGCAGTTTATCAGCTAACTTTGGCATGTTTTTTTCTGGTCCTTACTTCATTTAATAAAATACCAGTAGAGTTCAAGTGTGATAATACCACATCAAAATAATTAAAGAAACAGTCTTAGGATTAATCAATTAATTAGCTGTGGAAACAACAAAAGCATTCATTAAATCTAAACATTTTTATGCTCTTTTATTGATTCTTACTTAGTTATAATGTGAAGAGACATACCCATGACAGATGAGTAGTCACAAAAGTTTAAAAAAAAAAAACATGGAGTTCAGAAGACAAATGGAAATTTTAAAAAAACATCAAATGAAAATAATGTCAGTATTACATCCCTAGTGAAAAATTTTCTGAATGGTTTGAATGAAAGACAGAACATGGTAAATTGGAGAGAAAAATATTTGAGAAAGGTGAGCAGAGCCTCAGTGACCAATATAAAAAATATCGAGCAGTCAAACATATGTACAATTAAAGTCTGAAGGACAAAAGGGACCCAGTAAAACATTTCATTAAGGAATAGTCCATAATTTCTCAGATTTGGTTATTTAAAAATCACTTCACATATCTAAGAAGTTTGGTGAATCCAAGCAAGATAAATACCAAGAAAATCTATATAAAGATATCATAGCCAAACTGTAACATATGGAAAACTAAATATAAAATATTGAAAACATAGGAAAAAATCGAATACAGAAATAAATAATAGCTGATTTCTTATCAGAAATACTGGAAATCAGAGACATTGTAACTGGGGAGAAATAACTGCAAAATATATCTGACAAAGACAAATAAAAATGTTCCATCTCTTGATAGGAATTGTGGATACAAAAGTGTATGAATTATTAAAAATACTCTCTCTCTTGAGTTAAAAAGGTATATAAATAATTAAGAATTCACTGTCTTGTATGTCAGCAATCCCTAACCTTTTTGGCACCAGGGACCAGTTTTATGGAAGATGATTTTTCCACAGAAGGGAAGGTGGTGGTTTCAATATAATTCAAGTGCATTACATTTATAGTGCATTTTATTTCTATTATTATTACATTGAAATATATAATGAAATAATTAAATACCACAATGCAGAATTAGTGGGAGCCTTGAGCTTGTCTTTCTGCAACTAGACAGTCACATCTCGGGATTCCTTTGAGAATCTAATGTCCCAACTGATCTAACAAATGGCAATATTCAGGCCATGGTGCGAGCAATGGGAAACAGCTGTAAATACAATTGTAAATGAATCCACAGATTGGTACTGATTCAATCCGGGGATCCCTGTTGTATACCTAAAATGCATTCATTTTACATATGTATTCCTTACCTAAAAAAGAACAATAAAAAAATATTACTTCCTAGGTAATGGTGTGCATGCTGAGATGTCTGGGCAAATTGTGAGTTCCTGAAAGTTACTTTGAAATGCATCAAAACCAAAATAGATGGCATAGCAGTCAGGTTGCTGGACTCTCACATGGTCAACCCTGGTTCAAGTCTCAGACCCAATGGCTTGAAACTCATACCGGGAGGTGTGCATGCCTGCCCAAGATCCCAGGAGGAGAAGGGATTGTGGCACGGCCATCCCCTATGGGGTATGATTTCTCACTTTCCCTCTTATATCTGTATCTTTCTCTTTCCAGAAAGCACATATGCCCTATGGCAAAAACTTCTAAAATAATAATAATAATAAAGGGACCAGCAGATGGTCTAACGATTATGTCTTTGGATTCCCACTTGGCTGACATGGTTCTAGTCCTAGATCCGGTGGCTTGAAACTCATGCCAGGTGTATGTGTGTGTGTGCTCAAAATCCCAAGAAGAAAATGGAGGAGAAGGGACTGTGGGAAATGCAAAATGCAAATGATGTAGGCTAAACTATCTTCAAAAAGAAGAGCAAAGTTGAAGAATAGAGCTATAGCAATGGACATTGTGGTACTGGTATGGTAATAGGCAAGTAGAATAATATAACCAAATGGAGATTCAAAAAGAGATCAACAGATAAACAGTCACTTTTTTTTTTAGAGAGAGAGAGAGAGAGAGAAATCTTTGGTATAGGGTGTGTGTGCTCACTGGAGAGATGGAGAGACAGAAAGTGAAAAATCACCCTGCAGGGGGTATGGCCAAGCTGCAATCCTTTCTCCTTCCATTCTTCTCTTGGAATTTTGGGCACACATGCACACATGTCCAGAGTGAGTTTTTCTTTTTGGAGAGTTTTTTTTACTATAGGGTGCATGCACTCGCCAGAAAGACAGAGAGAGACAGAGAGACAGAAAGCAAGAAATCACCCCCCGGGGGGTTGGCCACACTGCAATCCCTTTTCCTCCATTCTCCTCCCGGGATCTTGGGCACACACGCACATGCGCCCAGCATGAGTTTAAGCCACCGGGTCTGGGACTTGAACTGCAGTCGACTACATAGGAGTCCAATGACATGGCCTTTACCTCAACTGCTGGTCCCCAGAGTGAATTTTAAGCCACCAGGTCTGAGACTCCAACTACAGTCAACTACGTGGGGGTCCAGCAATGTAACCATTATGCCATCTGCTCGTCCCAATGGTTAATCATTTCTGACAAAAGTGCCAAGTCAATTCAATAAGATAAAGTTTTTCAACAAATGGTACTAGAAAACGGACTAAAGAATATTGGTCAGTCAATCAGTCTCAATATCTCTGTCCAACTTGTATGCACAAATACTTATTTATAATAGATCATAGTCAAAAAATTGAAATTAGTGAGCTTCTGAAATTAGAGAGTATCTTTTGACTCTGGGCTAGGCAAAGATTTTCTAAATAGGACATAAAAGCACAGAATATAAATTAAAAATTAATATGCTCTTCGAAATACACTTTAGAAAACAAAAATAAAAAAGTAAGTTACAGTCTGGAGAAAATATTCACAATTCATATATTTGACAAAGGACTTTATAATATATATAATTAACAAACAACATGATTAAAAATAGCATAAAAGAGTTTGGCAGACACTTTCAAAAAGAGGGTGCAAAAACAGCTCATAACACAGGAAAGTGTGCTAACTATCACTAGTCATCAGGGAAATGCACACTTGAATCACAGGGAGATACCACTTCACAACCATGGGAACAGCTACAGTTTAAAAGATGTAACACAGCACTCTCAGACACAGAGCAAATGGAACTTTCATACATTGTTAGTATGAATATAAAATGACCCAGCCACTTTGGAAAACTATTTGTCATTTTTTTAATAAAGTGAATCATACGTTTACCCTCTGACCAAGCAATTCTATTCCTCCGCATTTACCCAAGATAAATAAAAGATTAATATCCACGCACTTATTTAGGAATGATCACAATAGCTTTTATCACTCTCTCTCTCTTTTTTTGTAAGTTTACCAGAGGGTATGTGCACTGACCAAACAGAGATGAAGTAAGAAACCCCCCCCCCATAGGACATGATCACAGTACAATCCTTTCTCCATTTCTCCTCCCTTTCAGGGTTCTAGAAAGGTACACACACTCTCAGTGTGTTTTCAAGCTGAGGGTCCAGGGTTCAAGCATGCAGTTGGTCTGTGGAATCCAGCCGCCTTCACCGCCATACCTCCAGGTTTTCTAAACAGTCCCAAACTGAAAACAACTCAGTGTCCACCAACACTAAGTAATCAATGACAGACAATAATCTGCAATATATTGGTACAAAGAAACATTACTGAGTAGTAAAAACATAATTAACCATAAATTCACAATGATATGGAAAAACATCAAAAACGCAGTAAATAAAAGAAGCTTTTATCTGTAAATACAGCAAAATTCTATATGGAAAAATTAGAATAGTGATTGTCCTTTGGGGAGCAGGGATGGAATAGCCTAGACATAGGGGTGAGCTCTAAAGGCAGCGAGTCACTGTGGCTGCCCAGCTCTCAGTTGGATGGTTGAGGGTCAGCCAGTGCCCACACATGGAGCTTCTAATATTTATTTATTTTATCAGTTATTTCCAATAATGAGTAAAATGTAACTTACTCAGATCTTTCATCTTAAAACAGAAAGGAACTGAAATTTTTAATCATGAGGGAAGCCAACCATGGATAAATGAAATACAGACATTTTTGGAAAGGATGTCGTTTTTCTCTTGTAGAAAAAAAGAAGAAATGAATATCCTGAAAAAAAGTATCTTCATACCATATAGTATTTAGATTCACCTAGATTATTAAAGTACAAATTTGTCATTGCTATGAGGCCAAGTAATATTTTGTATTTTTGTTCTGTAGTTGCTCCTGGATTTATTAACATTTTCACGTGTGCTGCAGTTTCTCTTTGATGCGCTATAGTGCAGACTGGTTAAGCTGCACAGATTTTAATGTAAAGTCCTGTATTTCTTCCTATGAGATAAAGAAGCAAAAAGGGCTTATATTCCTCTTATACATTGATGGTTACTCCCAGTCTAAAGCGGATGAACAGAAGGAAAGAGAAAAGTTGAATAGCAGATGGTAATATTACCCAGGTTGTCGGCCAGAATGTAAGGAATGGGAAACTTCCACCTGGTGTTTGGGTCTCTCAGGCCATTTCTGGACTTCTGTGGAAACAGAGGCAAAGATGATTGGGAAGCCTAGTCCTCAAAGTCATCTTGACCTAGTCCTTCACTAAATTCTCAACACAGTCTCTCACATAGTTCAAACTCCCTATAGCATTTGCCTTTTGATTATAAAAGTAATAAAAGTTCCTTAGATATATTTTGGAAAATCAGATAAATTATCAAAAACAAAATAAAGAGGACCCAGAATTTCTATAAAGGGAGAAAGCTGCTATGAACATTTCCTTCTACTCATTCTTGATTTATTAGAAAAATTGAACAAATAAGCCATTTAAGAATTATAGACAAAAGGGAGATAGCTGCTATGAACATTTTGGTACATTTCCTTCTACTCATTCTTGATTTATTAGAAAAATTGAACAAATAAGCCATTTAAGAATTATAGACACTTCTGTGCTATTTGAGCTATTTGATTGTCTTATCTCTGCTTTTGTCATAGCCAACTACAGTGGCAGTTCTTGTGGACAGAGATTAAAGAGTAGAATCCTTTCATCTCTTCTGCAGTTCCAGTCCCAGGACGGGCCTAGAGCAGAGGTTTACAATCCAATGGTACAGCTAGTGTTGAGGGAGGTGATTGTGTCATTGGTAGCTACTCACCTGCAGGAGGATGTCCCCTTGAAAGAGGTTCAAGCCTGCAGCTACACAAATTTGGAAAAAAAAAAGAAAAGAATATTTGAATGAACATTATTCAAAGGCATCTCTCTTAGTAAACTTAATCTTTTCTATTATAAATCTTTAAGTGTTCTTTTTAGTTGCCGGAAGGTATGAGAGAGATGGAGACAGACTGTTGGGGAAAGCATCCCCTCAGGGGCATGGTCACACCACAATCTTTTCTCTTCCATTTCTCTACCCTGTCAGGATTTTGGCACACATGCACATGTGCCCAGTGTGTTTTTCAAGCCATCAGGTGGGACTCAAACTGCAATCAGCCATATGGAATCTGGCTCTTTTAACCATTAGGCCATAGTGCCAAGCTGAAATTGTTCATCTTTACGTGGTAAAACACTTTGGAAATAATGTGAACATTTCCTCGAATTGAGTAAATGTGAATAGCCACTAAGTATCCCTGAAATTGTTCATCTTTATGTGGTAAAACGTCTTTGGAAATAATGTGAAAGTTTCCTCAAATTGAGTAAATGTGAATAGCCACTAAGTATCACGTATCTTCATTTTCTCTTTTTTCACTTTTAGACTAAGAAATCTTGTCCAAGAGTCCTATACGTTAAATGAGTTAGAAAGGATATCAACCACTGACTCGAAACCCCTCATACTTCAAGGGAAGAAATGAAACCCAAAAGCACAAAGTGATACTCTAGGTGCTCAATGGCCAGAGGAACCTTAAAACTCCCGATTTCTGATTCAGGGCCCTTTTTGCCGTTGTACCATCCTGCCTCCTGTCCCTAGATAAATGGGTTGGTCTTGCCTTTTCCCATGAAAAATCCATGATACCTTCCAAAACCAAGTTCAAGTTGCTTCCCTTGTAATAAGAAAGGACAGGGAAATATGAATAGATCCATGCAAAACCTTATCTCTAAATATCTACTGACAAATGTTTAGAACAAACTCTCCCACTGCTAGTATTGGTTAATACTGGTCTCATACTCTTTCTGAAAATAAGATTCCTTAAAGGGAAGATATCTGTAAGAAAACTTCCCGAGCATTTAAAAGAACATCACGTATTATTATAACCTTCATGTGACAAGCATTATTCTCTGTAATATATAAACAACTTCAGAGAGTTTCACTAGGTTGCTGTAGATTGTCACTGATTTACGGCTGGGAAATCAAGCCAAAGAATAATCACCCGACCTCATGTATTGACAGAAGTCTCATTCGACAAAGCCTATGGCTCATTTGGGAGCTGGTTTGGCACCAAGGAGGTATTGGTAATTAGGCACAACATGGTTGCACTTGCTAGCATTAACTAAAGCTGACTCTGCATTGTCCCCTTCCTCACGCACACATTTCCTGATTTCCTTAACCTCCGTAGCCCTGACCTATTCATATTGTGGTGGTATAATTAAGTAACAGCAAAGATACCGTGGCCCCATTGTTAGTAAAACCCAGAATTTGAATAATCTTTTCAGTAGGGGTACTTTGTGTTGGTCCACTCATATTCTCACCTAGACCTATCATGAGCAAAAGTCTGTATTTCCTGATTCCTTGCCCAAATTAGGGAGTATGTGGGGAGTTTTTCCAGAGTGATATCAACACACCCATTCAGACCTTGGCTCCTGTGGTTTGTCTGCATGAATGGGGTCACAGTGAGTGGGAAGTATTTCCTAAATAAGTAAATATCCAGTGAAAGCAAGCTTCAGTCTAACAGGGAAAGCAAGCCTCAATCTATTTACTACCCAGTTTGTTCATGTAGTTCATACTACGTGCCTACCATTTCTTGGGCATTATTCTCATTGCTGTAGATGTAGCAGAGAACAAAACAAAGCCTTTTAAGAAATGAGGATATAAGAAGTAAGTTTCGATGTCTCATCTAATATGAAGGTAGATTTAACTGCATTGGTTCACAAATTGGGTGTAAGTTATGTGAGAAATACCAGAGATAGGGGCAACTCAGATTTAGACTCTAAAATCTACCAGGTGAAAGTTTCATTTACCAAAATGAAAAAGACTTAGAGAAACAAAGCTTGGAGTAGAATATAAGAAGACTAAATCAGTACTGTAAGGCATGGAGAGAAGGTGGTCAGGTGACAGCTGTATCTATATGAGTTTCTCAACCAATTTGTTAGAATCTGGCCACATGGTTAATACAATCAATCCTAGTAAATTGGTCAGAATGACCTAAAAGGAGGGGGATCCACATGGTAAAGACATGTCATTGAGGTTAGAGTTCAGAGGTAGTGTGGCTAACAGTAAGAAATGGCTCAAAGATAAGAAATTAATTTTTACCAGATAAATAAAGATGTGCTCACTGAAGAAAAATGAAAGAAAGAAAGAAAAAAAAAAGAAAGAAAGAAAGAAAGAAAGAAAGAAACCACCACTACCACCACCACCCCCCCAACACACACACAGAAGATGACCACACCACAATTCTTTCTTTTCCATTCTCCTCTTGGAATTTTGGGCATGCATGCACACGCACTTGATGTGTTTCTTAAGCTGCCTGGTCTGGGATAACCACCAGTAGGCCATGTGGCATGCAGCTGCCTTAACCACCATACCACCAGCTGGCCTTTTGACTGACTCTTATTATCATGCATTAAATCGCTATTCATCATTTAGATTGTGAAGAGACTTTACCCAGCATAAGTATACACCTCAGTCCAGCCCAGTTGAGGCTATTATACACATCCTCCTCAACAGATAAAAAAAATCTTATCTGTGTCCCACAAGTGTCTTACCTCTCCATTTTCCTCCAAAATTTCCTTTCCTATGGTCTTCCCCTCCCACACTCTTTTTCTACTTTGTCTCTAGTGTCCATTGTGATTTTTAATGCTTTTATGTTCTCATCTTTCAGTGTCCACTGTAGAGTGCAGTCAGTATATGTTAAGTGGAGACATACAATGTCTCTCTTTCATAACCTGACTTGCTTCACTCAGCAAAACATATTCTGTATTTGTCCACTTTCTATCAAATTCCAGGGCCTTGTTTTTTATGGCTGAGTAGTATTCTATGGAGTTTATATGCCACAACTTTTTCAATCCATTAATCTGTTTGTGGACATTTGGGTTGGTTCCATGTCTTAGCAATAGTGAATAACACTGCAATGAAAATAGTTGTGCAAGCGCTTTTCCAACTGTGTGCTCTCCTGTCCTTTGGTAGATACCCAGGAGTGGAACTGCTGGATCATAGGGTAATTCTATTTGATGGTCTTTGAGGAACCTCTATATCACTCTCCACAGTGGCTGGACAAATTTACATTTCCACCAACAGTATAGGAGTGTTCCCCTTTACCACACCTCCCGCCAGCACTTATCATTATGTGTTTTTTTTAATCCTAGCCACTCTGACTGGAGTTAGGTAGTATCTCATTGTGGTTTACAATGAGGGATGTTGAGCATGATTGACTTTTAAGAGATATTTTGGTGCTTGGCTGTGAGACCAAGAAGCATTTACTCATTTACCTATTCACCTTTCTAAATTAATTCTAGTTTAGTAGAAAAAAACTCTTCCAGGCTTTTTTCAAGATATCCTAGGTCTGGGAACCAGCAGTCAGTGTAATGGCTATGTCACTGGACTCCCATGTAGTCGACCGCTTTTCGTGTCCCGGACCTAGTGGCTTAAACTCACACCGGGCGCATGTACATGCGTGCCCAAGATCCCAAGAGGAGAATGGAGGAGAAGAGATTGCGGTGTGGCCATCCCCCCTGTGGGGGTGATTTCTCTCTTTCTGTCTCTCTGTCTCTCTCCGTCTTTCTGGCAAGCGCACGTGCCCTATAGCAAAAAAAAAAAACTCTCCAAAAAAAAAAAAGATATCCCAGTCTGAAACTGCTTTCCTTGTGAATGAGGCAAAAACAAGAGGAAAAAAATAAGTCTAGTCATTAAGAATGTGATTTTTCATTTTATTTTCCTCAAACAGCACCGAGCTATTGAGCATGAGTCAGAATACCTAGTAGTGAGTCTCCTTAATGCCACCTGTAATCTTGGGCAAATCACTCTAACTACAAGGAGCCTCTTGTCTCTTCCTCCAAAATGAAAGCTGCACTTAGCCCACTACGGGATATATAATAGGTTTTATAGCCAGTAAGTGTTTATGATGATGAATGCCCCTGCTTCTACCAATCCTAACCAAAGACATTGGAAAGTGGAGTTTATCATCTCAGAGAAGAACAACAGGGGAATTAAGAGAGAGAGTGACTCAGATTTTCTGTCTTTTCAGTAATGGAGAAGACCTGGGGATTTCTTCAAGAAATATCTTTGTGAACAAAATATCTAAACAAAAATATCATTATACTCTTCTCTAAGTTCCAACCAAGCAGTTGTTAGTGAGTATAATGGGCCAGTAGAGTGGCTAAGAATTTTTTTCTCCGCTAAATATACCCACAGGCTTATTCTTTACATTTTTCTTTAGCAAGTAGAATAATCATCCATTTTTTTCCTTTTTCTCATAATAGAAACTAAGTAGAAAAGTAAAACTCTTATAAACAGAAAACTTGTCATGTATTTATAGATCCACTGAGAACACACCAGCTCTCTTAGAAAACGTGGCCTAGCTTTCCTTCTCTTCCCATTTTCCAAAACCTAAAAATTCTATTAAAGCACTAGTAGATACTTCTATCAAAAAGGTACAAAACAGTCTTATGAAGATAAGTGCTTCTAGAAATCCTATCACTAGTTTTAAATTATTTCAAGACATTAATAACACAGAAATCAGACCTACCTAAATTTATTTTTGAAATATCTTCCTGTTCATCAAAATCTGTAAGCTGTACTGTTAAAAGTGAAAAGAAAAATGTTACTAGTTTAGCTGAACAAAAGAACATTCAGAAACACTCCACGTTTCTATTGATTCTTACCATTTCCTTCAGAAAGATGTTTAATCTGAAAGGAAATAAATATACAGAAATGGGTAATGTATACTAGAATCATTATTTCTAAATATCCAAAGAACAAAATTCTACTTACCGATACAGCTGCTATGTGGACAAAAAGAATAAAAGTGAGAATGCAAATGTGTTTAGTCCAAACCATTGTTGCAAGTGGACTGAGTTCAGGAAAGACACCTTGTCATAAATACCTTTTAGACCTTGTCCATTCTGTCATATTGGGAACTTTGACCCTTTCATATATATACTGTAGTGTTAAAAAGATAGTCAAAGGAAATGTCATTAACCCTTTAGAGAACAAATACTAAGTCTTTAAAAGCACAAACTCCTGAGACTAGAAAAAATTTAAAAAATACTGAAATGAGCATATAAGAACCAATAACTTTCCTATATGCCAGTAATAACTGTTTATATGCTATACAGATAAAAGATCTCCTACACAATAGTAATAAAGTAATCTATTATATGATTGAAAAGCACCTATATCTGATAAAAGATAAATTTGAGTTTTGTGAAAATGTTATAACAAAGCAATTATGGAAGAACATAAGGAAGAAAACTACATATATATATGTATATAAAATCTATATATACACATTGATATATTTGAAGAATTCATGGATTAGTTCAATATTAATCTATAAATTCGAAGTTATTTTGTAAAAATCTTAACAGGGGTTTCAGTGGAACTTACCAAACTGAAAAAACTGTCTTTGAAATCCATGTGAAAGGGTAAACTTTCAAAAGTAGCTAAGAAAGTTCTGAAAAAAAAAAGAATTAAAAAAATGGATCTTCCCTCATGTAATATCAAGAAATTTTATAAAATTATGGTAATTAGTGTGATATTGTCAAAATGGAAGATCTATCAGTGAGTCTATAGAATGGAATAGAAAGTATCAAAATAAATGCAAGTATGAATGGGACCTTCGTATGCAAGAGGAACCAATAAAGCAAGAGGGAAACATTGGTTTCTTCAACAGTACTGTTTGAAAAATATGGTGTTTCCATAAGAGGAAACACCATAAAATTCTTACACCAACCATTCACACAAATAAACTCCAGATAGATTAAAGAAGTAAATATGAAAACCTAAACTTTGAAAAAGAAAATACCCTTAACCTTGAGATTTTAAAAAAATTGCTTAAGCAAGGAAAAAAGCATAGAAATTAAAGAGAAAGAGAATAATTAATTTGACTGTTATAATTTAAACTCCTTTGTGAAAAAAATTATAAAATATTTCAAAGATAATCTATAGGTGAGAAAAGATATTTATAGTGCATATAATTAAATAAAAAATAAGTATTAAGATATGTAAGAAATTCCTACACATCAATAAGAAAAATAGCTATATTATCTAAGAGAAAAATGGGCAAAAATTATAAATGGAAAATTCACAAAAAAGGAAGTCCAAATAAACATATAAGAAGTTTTAACCTCACAAGTAATCAGGAAAATGTACATAAAGTGAGGAAATAGTAAGTCTTAGACACTGCTGCTAAGTCAGCAATTTGACGTCATCAAATAAGGCTAATATGTGCATAGTTTGTAGGCTAAAAACTTCACTTATAGGTTTATCAGGGGTCTTCAAAAAGTTCACAGAAAATGCATGCTATGGAAAAACTATGCACAGATTTCAAAATTCTTTGCCATAAACTAAACCTGTACTTTAATTCCATTTTTCTATGAACTTTTTGAAATTTGCATATATATGTTAAAGAAACTCACACATATGTGCATAAAGTATTACATAACATATTAATTGCTGTACATTTTTATGTTAGTCAATAAGTGAAAAATACATTTACTGTAGAAGAAAAACTAAATTATGGAATATATTGACTCATACACAGGTAATTATTTAAGAACAAGTTCTCTGAAAGAAAAAGTCTTCATTTGTAGTGTTCGCTAATTTCTGTGGTGCATATATTCCCACCATGGTCAATGTCAAGCTATCACTGTCACTGATGCAGTGTGCTGAAGATATGTACACAGTAGTTTTTTGACTTTTTTTTTAATCTGCTCCAGTGTAGTGCTGCATATATTGCACCCATTCTTCTATTCTCTCATGTACAAGTTATAAAAAATCTCTGATATCAGAGCAACCTTCAGTTCTAGAGCCTGCACCTTTCCACTTCAGACTTAATACCAGGCAGGTGGGTTAGTCCTACTGTAACAGAACAGTTCGGGAGGAAGAGAGTGGGACATCTGAGCTATAGAACAGAAGGCATGACAACTAGGGTCATCTTCTGATGGTAGAAGAGGTCTATGACTGACTTCTGTTTGATCACAGCCATTGGTGGTGAGGTGGTAAAATGGAATAGATATGTGATGGTATGGCATCTGTGATGTCCAGGTTCTTGGTGTTTTGCACAAAGAATTGAATGAAACATCCAATAATGAAAACAAAGGGTAGTTTACTAAGGAAAAGTGAAAATACACTCCCGAGAGGTAGAAACAGCCAAAGCACAGGAGAGAGAGAGAGTGGCGCAGGGGCCCTGACAGTTAGATTCTATGGGGGTTATAACTTTTTTAAATCTAGATGGTGTCAAGTTATCATTCACTGATTGTTCTCCTCTTATTGGCTATATTAAATATGGTTGGACCTACTGATTCATCTCATTGCCTATACTAAATATCGCTTAGTCAACTAGATATTTCTCTACTGGAAATCTCCCACCGACGTTACCTTATGTGATCAATTTTTCCATCTGGATACATAGATAGATGTTCTGGCCCCCTTACCTGTTTCCATTTTCTAACTTTTTAATGTCCCATCTTCTCCCTAAGAGGCATGAACTCCATAAATCTTTTTGAGGAGTTGAAGGTGGGTGGTTCTTCTGCAACTGCTTTATGTTGGAAGGGAGCATTAGCCCTACCTACTGGAGACAAAACAATTCTTGCTTTATCTAATCTAGGTAGGAGAGTGGGGCCATGGGCAGGTTGTTGAGATAATCCTTAAATGTGTCATTGGGAGGGCTGTCATTGGTCCTAGATAATGCATGTTAGGATTCAGTGGAGGTCCCAAGAGGATGGTATCCCTGAAGCACAGTCATTTGCAATTTTATAGTCTTTAAGAGAGAAGATATAAACCAGATTAGGTCTAAGAGACAGAGTCCAAAAATGAGGATAAGAATTAGCATTAACAGTGGCCCCAAGATGGGCAACAGCCAAGAGAACCAGTTCCAATTTTTTTTTTCCAGATTCCTCATGAATCTGACTATTTCTGTCAGATTTGTGAAGCCCTGTCAGCCAATTTCTTGGCAACATCTCTTACCAGGCTGGGTTAGTTTACATAGAAGTAATACTCTTCTTCAACGAACAGACAGAGCCCACACTTTTCTGTAGTCAGAAGGTCTGACCCCCTTCTGTTTTGGAGTACCACTCCTGCCAGTGAATCTATTAGATCTTGGAGAATTAGGGTATTTTGAGCTATTTTATCTAAGTTGTTTGAGAGCTCTTTGGATTACTTTTCATTATAAGTTAGGGAGATGGACAGACCAGCAGCCCTTGTACTCATTACAGTGGGGACATCTAGCCCCACTAGAAGGGGAATGAGTTATATGACTCTGTTTGTCCTCATGTAAGCTGTCGGGGGAACAATTAGTGACTGCTGGGGGCAATGGTGATCTTGGGAGATAGATAAACCAGCATTTAGGTTCCTGCCCAATGTGCAAGGAGGCACAAATAGGAAGAGCCACAAAGAAAATTCCAGGAGTCTCAAGGCAAAATCCAATGTCAATAGTAAAGAGACAAATTAATCGATTACTTTCATTTTCCCAGATGTAAAGGCTTCCTGCTAAGGTTACTCCCATAAGCAATTTGTATGGCCCAAGAGATATATCCTGTGTGGATCCTTGGGTTTTGTTTTCGTGTTGTAAATAATATTGCAACGTGTCTATATAAACCAAGGTGGTTAAGTTTTCATGTTTATGTACAAGGAGACATTGCTTGGTTGTAGGTTGGTACCGTCATGCCAAGAAAAGATGCTAGCGCATTGGTTAGAACTCTCTTGGCAATATCCAGAATCTTTGTTCAGTAGGGTAGAAGCGTTAAATTGAAGCTTTTCTGAGAACCTCACTGGCTTATTGAAAGGTGTGTGTTGAGTTACTTAGTAGTTAGCCCAATCCTTAGGAGGCTTTACTACTATCATACTATCACAGAGAGACTGGTCTAAGGCATCTACTGGCTGTCCTTGGATTGTATCACGAGTTCTTCTAACTCAGATAGGTGCCTGGAATTTTGCAAAAGTAGTGATTATTTTGGGTCCCCAGACTGGGGCTTTCAGTGAAGCCTTAGTGGCTAAGCTCCTTTGGAAGGATCTGAGATGAACTGCCCTTCCTATTAGCATATTCGTAGTCCACTCAGTTATTTTAAAATGCTACAAATCCTGCATATTTGTTAACTGGAAAAGTGGACCTCCCCTGTATTTAGTATGAGGAGTCATTGTGCTAATGGTTCATAGCCAAATAGGAAAATGGGTAGCTGTGTATTGAGCTGAAGATGAGGATAAACAAAGCCAGCAATCCTTAGCCAAATTTGGGTTGGAGACCTTGGGTATCGAACCATCCTATATTCCCCAGTTGGCTTAAGTACTGGCAGTATAGGAGTACTTCAGGGGAACTAGCAAGGCTTTAGTAGCCCAAATTTCAAAAATTCCTTTATGATAGATTCAAGGCCCCTCCTAGCTTCAGGTCTTCTTGGGTATTGTTTATGATGGAGGAATTAGGAGGGATCTTTGACTTGTATCCTCACAGGGGATACTGTTATTGTTCTACCTGGTTGTCCAGAATATCAGGCCATGGGTTCAACTTTATCATGTATGTAATTTAGTCCTGCATCAAAATCTTGTATGATTATCATTCTTGAAGGTCTAAACTTAACTTGAAGGATGGTTCCAGTATACCTTCCCATAAGGGAGGCTGGGAAGCTGAGAACTATTAGAAATTCCATGAGAATATTTGATTTTTAAATTGGTGTAACAGGAGCAGTCAAGGAGCTCACAGTATCTTTTACCTCCATTGCCAGGACCTTCATGGTTTGGGAGGAGCATCTTCCTGAAAAGGAAGGAAGAACAAAGTAGCCCCTGTATCTAACAGAAATAAAACTAGGGGCCAGCAGATGGCATAGTGGTTATGTTGCTGTACTCCCACATGGCTGACTGTGATTCAAGTCCAGACTTGAAAATCATGAAAATCACAGCTTGAAAATCATGCCAGGTACATGTGCATGCATACCCAAGATTCTAAAAAAATAGAAGAGAAGGAATTGCAGCATGGCCATCTCCCCCAGGGGGGTGATTTCTCACTTTCCTTCTCACTGTCTTTCTCTCTCTCTCTTTCCAACAAGCACACATGCCCTAAGGCAAAAATCTCTAAAAATAAATAAATTCTTTAATAAATAAAATTGGGTTACCTATCACATCCAGAATTACCTGCAATTCCTCAGTGGTTATGATGACTTCTATGGACAGGGGCATAGAGGATTTCCTCAGGTCTCCTCAGTCACTGATTTCTTCCTCCTTGGCTCACAAGGGCTTTGGCTGACTCCCCCCCCCCAAGAGAGTTGTCAGTTGACCCACAAATGCCAAGGATCATTCCCCATCTTGTGGCAACGATGGCAATACCCAGAGGGTGGTTAGGTGCAGTCTCTTGCCCGTATTGTCTTTTTGCATTTGAAGCAGAAATCTGTAGGTTTTTCTTTTTGTTTTTTGAGTAAATTCTTGGATGGTCTTTGAGCATCACA